CTATCAACCTGGAACCACTACCTCTTTATTTGTGCTTTTTTCTACATGTTACATCAATTCAAGTTCAATGGCTCACCCTATTCCATATAACCCATATCCTATTGGGCACATTTGATTTCCATCGTGGGAAGTGTCCCAATGAGTGTTCATGCTTGGCTTACAATCTCACATGGTCTCCTTGGCCCCATAGTTACAGCATGTCATAGTACTTTTATATCCCGTGTCGTGATCCATGCAGAAATTTGAAGAAGGTGGTGAACTTAGATTGTAATGAGGGGAGCTTCGTTGTATTTTGATTAGTTCTCCTACTATTGTTTGCACAAGATTATTAGCAAGATGAGAAAGGGAAGCTGAAGAGGTGGATGAACCATGATAGGCTCCATTTAAATAATAGTGAAGATAGAAGATAAAGAAAAATATTCAATTATGTTTACGATTTCAAACATAGACATCTTCTACTTCATCAAGCGTAGTAAGAATTGACACTTACTTCATTTTTATTTCCTCAAAACTTTTGAAGTTAACGATTATAGATTGGTCATTCTCCAGATGATGTATGAAGATGCAAGTCAAGTGGCCACGGATGCAGTTAGTAGTATAAGGACAATAGCTTCCTTTTGTTCTGAGAAAAGAATTACAAGAATATATGATCATAAATGTGAAGCCTCGGTGAATCAAGGAGTCAAAACAGGAATAGTTGCGGGTATCGGATTTGGTTTCTCATACTTGACATTGTACTTCACATACGGCCTTTGTTTCTATGTCGGGGGGCAATTCGTGCAACAAGGAAAATCAAATTTTGGTGAAGTTTTTAAGGTATGTAGATGCATTATTTTGCCTGTAAAGTTACTCACTAAGGATTATCTTGTCCTTATTTTTTTTGCCATAGTTCTATCATGAGGTCATTTCACTTACTAAGTCATACTTTGCAGGTTTTCTTTGCACTGGTCTTAGCAACTATGGGAGTATCTGAAACAAGTGCAATGGCCTCCAATTCAAAAAAAGCAAAGGATTCAGCTATCTCTATATTTACTTTGCTAGACCGAATATCTGAAATTGATTCAAGCAGCAATCAGGGTTTGACATTAGATGAGGTCAAGGGCAACATTGATTTCCAACATGTTAGCTTCAAGTACCCAACTCGCCTAGATATTCAAATCTTCCATGACTTTACCCTGCACATACCCTCTGGAAAGGTTAGCCTACTTCTCATATAATAATCGCATTGTCATATCTTGTACAACCATGCACTTAGGAGCTTGCTTTCGATATGCTCTCATATAGACTGTTGCGCTTGTTGGAGAGAGTGGTAGCGGCAAGTCAACAGTAATCACACTATTGGAGAGATTCTACAATCCCGATTCAGGTACCATTCAATTGGATGGAGTGGAAATCAAGAGCTTAAACATCAATTGGTTTAGAGACCAAATTGGACTGGTGAGCCAAGAGCCTGTACTCTTCAATGACACAATACGTGCCAACATAGCCTATGGTAAGGACGGGGACGTCACCGAAGAGGAGGTCATTGCAGCTGCGAAAATATCCAATGCACATGAGTTCATATCAAGCCTTCCTCAAGGATACGGCACCTCCGTTGGGGAGAGAGGGACACAACTATCCGGTGGCCAGAAGCAGCGGGTGGCTATTGCGAGGGCGATACTCAAAGATCCTAAGATACTACTACTCGACGAAGCAACTAGCGCCTTGGATGCAGAATCTGAGCGAATTGTGCAAAATGCCTTAGATCATGTGATGGTTGGCAGGACCACGATTGTCGTGGCACACCGCCTATCTACTATTAAAGGCGTCGATATCATTGCAGTTCTCAAAGATGGTGCAATAGTGGAGAAAGGAAGTCATGAGTCCTTGGTAAACATCAAAGATGGATTATATGCTTCACTAGTTGAACTCCGTTCATCATCACCGTAATTCCTAGGATTAGTATCGGTTCCTATTTGCATACATGGGTTACATGTTGGTTGACCCCCTTTTTGATTGTTGACTTGGAAATGCGATACATTAATTGTTTGGAACTTGAAAAGGAGCTCAAGAAGTAATTACAATTTGTCGTGTCTATGCCTATCTAATTTAAGAGTGTACATATTTGGAAAGAAAGATTATTTGTCGGGTTTTGATTCTCAAATGTACATTTCTAGTGTCAATGCATAAAGGTGTGTAGTTGTGTACCGTACATAGCGTATATATAATTTTTCGAAGAATCATCGTTTGACATGTCAAACATATCATACATTGTATGAAGATGACATAGCTCCTTTTTTTCAGATGTTCTTGCTATCCACGGTTTAGGTGCTAATCCGTACATGTGTATTTTCATTATGGCGATGAATGTTTATGTTGCTTCCTTTTAGGTGCTTTTGTGGCCACAAATGGTATCATCATGTCTTTGCAATGCTTTTCCTTTTGAAAGGGTGTCTTTGAAGTGTTATCCTCGATGCACGTCTATCTTTCTCGATGGAAGAGCATACACTTGTTGCTTCTCTGAATGTTCATTGCCTCATATGCATAATCAGGATTCTTACGGTCGATTTAGCAGTGCCCGGACATTTACTTATGTTCTGGTGCTGATATGTAAATGGAATATGGTCCTTGTAAGATGGGGATCTGCACTTGTAAGCACTATCCATATATAGAGATTAAATTACAGTAATGAAATATACATACATACCCGCGTACATGTGTATTTTTCAGACCTTTTCTGAAACTTTAAATATGTCATTTTCATTTAAAAAAACTTTGTTCATGTGCACTTTCTTCTCTGTTGAGAATCACAAGTGTGCATCTTTTTCAGGCTTATCTAGGTTGCCATAACAGTGGACTGATACAGATGTTTGATGTTCGCAGGTAGTCGCTTGACCTCCATTATTGGCGTTGCACCTTATCGTCTCCCATCCAGCCCTCCACCAGCTTGGTGAGCGTCACGTCCGACTCCCCGCCCGCGGCCAGCGCCTCCTTGGCCCTCCTCATGGCGCCCAGCGTGCGCTCCCGGAGCACGCTCCCGCCGTCGGACTCCATCAGCCACCGCACCTTCTTCTCTACCTCGCCGGCCTCCACCACCTCACCCTCTTGGTCGTACCCCTCCACCGCCGCGGCCAGCCCCAGCTCCTTCTCCAGGAACACCCGGTTCAGCCGCTGCTCCGCGTACAGCGGCCACGCCAGCATCGGCACGCCGGCCATCACCGCCTCCAGCACCGAGTTCCAGCCGCAGTGCGTCACGAACCCGCCCACCGCGCCGTGCGCCAGCACGTCCCGCTGCGGCGCCCACGTCTTCACCACCAGCCCTCTTTCTCCGGTCCGCTCCAGGAAGCCCTCCGGGAGCAGCGCGCCGAGGTCCGGCTCCGGCGGCTCCTCGAACCTCTTGGCCGGGTCCTCGTTCGGCGGGCTGCGGACCACCCATAGAAACCTCACGCCGCTCGCCTCCAGCCCGACGCCGATCTCCCTGATCTGCGCCGCGCTGAACACGCCCAGGCTGCCGAAGCAGAGGAACACCACGCTGCCCTCCGGCTGCGCGTCCAGCCACGCCAGGCACTCCCCGCCGCGCTTCACGCCCACCTCCGCCGACTTTATCAGCGGCCCGATGCAGTGCACCGGCGGGGTCGGGAGGCCGGGCGGCGTGCAGAGCCCCGCGCCGATCGCCTCGACGGCGCGCGGCTCCAGCGACCGGAACGTGTTGATGATGATGCCCTGCGAGCGGCAGAGGTCCGGTGAAACCTGTAAAAAGCCCCGGTACGCCGCGTCGTCGCGGTCCTGGAGCGGCTTGAGCGCGTGCGTGGCCGGGAACGGCGAGATCCCCGGCACGCGCACCAGCTCCTCGCCCATCTCCCGGAAGCTGGCGGCGCTCTGCTCGTGCAGCACCGGCAGGTACAGGAAGGACGCCAGGGCCTCGGCGCCGGACGTGAAGAAGCAGTAGCCCGGGACCCCGAGCTCGGCGGCGAGGTCGAGGGCCACGCTGCAGAAGAAGTCGACGACGAGGACGGCTGGACGGGCATCACCGGCGAGGAGGAAGTCGCGGAGGTGCGGGTTGGAGAGGCGGGCGACCTCGTAGGTGACGGCCTCGGGGTGCGAGGAGGCGAGGGGCGGGAACCGGACGCGGGGCAGGCAGTGGAAGGAGATGGCCGGGTTGGCCGCGGTGACGCCGGCCAGGAAGGGCCCCCGCGCGCCGGTGTCGACGAAGGGCAGCTCCACGATGAGGATGGTGACGGCCAGGCCCCGCGCTGCGAAGAGCTTGCCGAGCTCGATCATGGACACCAGGTGGCCCATCCCCGGCGACGGGTACAGCACCACCCGCTTCTTGTGAGGCGTCCCGGCGGTGGTGCCCAGGCCGTCGTCCATTGCTCTGTGCTGCTCTGGAATGTGCAGTGGAGCTGGTGGTGGTGGTTCAGCTGGATGGGGGATGGTGAGCGAGGAGGACCGGCCATTTTTATAAGCGGTGCGCTACGATCTGTGTGGCCATTAATCGGTGATGCAAGGTGTCCAACAGGATCTGCCATGTCGCTGTCTCCCCTCTGCAATTTTCCATATAGGGCCACACCACTTTACAGTTTACACCATGCAAAAAAGACGGATGGATCGACGTGGACCATGTGTGCTCGCCATTGCACCATGTGCAACATCTATCTAGCACCGACGGTGCACAAAGAAAACAATCCGATAACGCCCCGAGTACACAGCAAATCAAACATTTTTTATGACAAATTTAGTGAGGCGAGGGCGACAACTTTAGTTGACAAGCATAGCAATCTCGTGTTTCAGTTAATTTTTCAACAGAAAATTACGGTGTGCATCAACTAACTTGCCGTCACTAGAATTGCCATAAATAACGTATGATTTGTCATGTGCTCGCACCTGACGTCAGGTACTTATCATTTCCGCAAAGAAATTGGATGCTCCCTCCGGGCCGGAATGTTAGTTGGGATGGAATTTGAGATGTTTTAATTTGACTAAAATGTGTGTAATATATTTTAGAACTATGTTTGGAAAAACGCATTCAATGAAAAATTTAAGATATGTTGTTTTTTGTACCATACATGAGGCATGTTCCGTTAGTCGAAATGAAGACCTAAACCCGTGTGTGATTGATAAACCCAGATGGAGATGGTTCCCAACGTTTGACAATGTGAAAAAACAGAAATTTCTTTTCGACAAGTTTGGCCTAGCATGTCTCAATCATGGTTCGCGCGGATGTAGTCCTGCCATTCTGTATGCACCACATTGTGTTGAATGAGGCGAGACATGTCAGTACGTTTGGTTGTTGCGGGCACTGCGACGGAGTGAACATGGCAAAAGCGGAACATGGATGTGCCCAAGTGGGACTCTCAAATTGCCATCTCGCCCTCCACCTTTCACATCTCAACGTTGCAGCATGTACTAGCGAATATGCTGCAAGAAACATCTCATGAGTATGATCCGAAGTAGGGGTCCCAATCACTCTCAGATGAGACCAAAATCGTCACAAATAAACAAATGCGAAGATAAGACTCTGACACAAGAGTTAAAGGGTCCGTCTATGTCTCGATCAACTAAGATTTCCTGAAGTCTCAATCAATTCAAATCTCACTTGACGGAGAGAAAATCTTTGTCAATTTAAAAACATGTTATACTCCCACATATATCACAACATATACGTACAAACAATCACATGGCACCAACGCTCTTTCGACGATTTCCACTCCTCACCTTCTTTGATGGTTTAGTAGCAACATACGCAAAGGGATGGCCCGGCCCAGTGCAACTTTTTTACTTCATTCATCCCAAAAACAAATTAGTGCCACCTATCTTAACGAAATCAGCAGAGCCCATGCCTGTTCTATAGAAGAAAAAAAATCTACTATTATGCATATGTCACATTGGAAACAGGGTCCTTGTCAAGAAATGCACATAATACTACACTATGACCTCTAGCTGGCGGCCAGGATCTTGTCGAGTAAGTGTAAAAGAAAAAGTTTTAAGGAAAAAATGAACCAATGACAGCAAGTATGATTGCATATGATTGCTACACTAGGAATTATAATGGTGTAAAATGAGAGGAGCATGAGGTGGCGGACGAGGATGAGAACGATGCTTTAGCTGCCGCCCCGATAATGAATCAGTTAATTAACAACTTTAGTTGTTGTGTCAATTATGTCCATTTTATTTGTTGCTACCTTCGTTCTTGTTTATACTAGCAGAAACAATATAATTAGAAAATAAATTCAAATATGAATCCAACAACATAATTAAAAATAAATTCAAATATTAAATCTATGTTCTTTTAATACTCCCTCCGATCCATGTTACTTGTCGCTCAAATGCATGTATCCAGACGTGCGTGAGTAGTGAGGATGGACCAGTGTCATGCCAATGGCCGATGGGCATCTAGACATCTTCTGTATTTGCTTTTTCAAATTTCTGGAGAAAATAAATAAATAGAAAGAAATGGCGCAAGTAACATATCTCCCTAGCAAAAGGGAAGTGTAACATATATGTGTGATCCCGGATCGTCTTCTCATGCTCTGTGTTTCCTATTATCTCGAGGTTATGACACAAATATAACGCAAGAAACAGTGTTGATGTCTGTCAGTGTCAAAACCGGCGGATCTCGGGTAGGGGGTCCCGAACTGTGCGTCTAGGCGGATGGTAACAGGAGGCGAGGGACACGATGTTTTACCCAGGTTCGGGCCCTCTTGATGAAGGTAAAACCTTACGTCCTGCTTGATTAATATTGATGATATGTGTTACAAGAGTAGATCTACCACGAGATCAAGGAGGCTAAACCCTAGAAGCTAGCCTATGGTATGATTGTTGTTCGTCCTACGGACTAAAGCCATCCGGTTTATATAGACACCGGAGAGGGCTAGGGTTACACAGAGTCGGTTACAATGATAGGAGATCTACATATCCGTATCGCCAAGCTTGCCTTCCACGCCAAGAAAAGTCCCATCCGGACACGGGACGAAGTCTTCAATCTTGTATCTTCATAGTCTTGGAGTCCGACCGATGATGATAGTTCGGCTATCCAGACACCCCCTAGTCCGGGACTCCCTCAGTAGCCCCCGAACCAGGCTTCAATGACGACGAGCCCGGCGCATATGTTGTCTTCGGCGTTGCAACTTCATGTTCCTATCGAATAGTGTTCGGCTTCCTCATAAATGTTGCGCTCCTTGGCTTCTACACCCAATAATGGCCTTCTTCCACGTGTCGTATGAATGCGAAAAGCTAGGGTATTTTTACATTTCTCCCCCCAGCTGTGCGAACGAGCCGCCTATAAGAGAGGTGAGGATCTAGATCCAACTCACACCATCCTCCTTCCGCAAGTACTCATCGAAGCGCCTCTGACAAAAATCCACTCTATCATGGACAGCCGACGCGGCTCCTCCTCTCGCGCTCCCAGCCCTAAGCCAGGAGATTGGGGGAGATGCTCAGTTCCACACAGCGAGCTAGTGGCGCTCCAAACCGAGGGATATCTTCCCCCAGCCTTCATGGTTCCGGTTCGGGCCGGACTGGCCACCTTCCGGGGTGGAAAGCAGGCGGAGAGCGTTCCCAACCCCTCCAAAGGGGAGCGGGTATGCTTCGTCCCTTATTTAATAAGGGGACTTGGATTTCCCATACATCCGTTTCTCCGGGGGCTCCTGGAGTTCTACGGACTCCAGCTTCACCACCTTACACCTGCCTTCATTTTGCACATCGCAGGCTTTGTAGCTCTTTGCGAGCTGTTCCTGGGCATCGAGCCCCATTTTGCACTGTGGAAGAGATTGTTTTGCCTCGTACCCCGTTCTCACGAGGGGTCGATATATCAAGTGGGCGGAGCCGAAATATGGCACATCATCGGGACCGGATATCCATCCGGCACCCCGAAGAAGGCGTCCGAAGATTGGCCTTCGGAATGGTTCTATATGGACGACGCTCCTCTGCCGGATCCAGTTTGGATCGGCCTCCCGGAGTTCAGCAATGCCCCCTTGAAGAAACGCCTGAGTTGGCGCCCACGGAGCCCTCAACGGGAGGATGATGGGAGCGTCCATTATCTGATGGGCCGGATTAGGTTACTGGCCCACTCCGGATTGACCATGATTGGAATCATGGCCACGTGAATTATGCGAGGGGTGCAGCCGCTCCAATATAGGGGCCACCCCATGTGGGACTTCAACGGGGAGAACGACGCCACCCGTCATGGCCGCAAGGGGCCAGGATCGGCCGCGGATCTGGTGAAGATCCTGTCCGGCTTGTACAAGGGGGAGAAGGAAGACTTTCTCCAGACGAGCCCATTGAATGGGTTCTCCATGAATAACCCTCGGAGCTGGGTAAGCGAACGTTTATTCATTCGACCCGTGCTTTCGAAGTTTAAATGCCTTACTCTATGATTTTGACGCAGGAACTGCGTCGGGATGTGGAGCGCATACACAGTCCGGCCCGACAACCCGAGGATCCGGGAAGATCCCTTGATCCGGCTTCCGAAGAGGATCCGGACATAAAGGTGGATTTAATTGATGGGGTGTTCCACTAGCTCAGCATAGATAATGCTTTGGTCGCCATTACGGCTGACTACCCTGGTTTGTGTCCGGCTTCCCAGGTGAGTACGACCGAAGCTCTGACACCGTTGCTTTGTTAATGCTTATTTCTAACCACCGTGCACCAATGGTGCTCGGCAGGCAGTGCCTTCACGGCAGGAAGCCGAGCCTGCGGCGACTGATCAAACGGGGTCAGTTCGGCCCAGCAGGTGGAAGAGGAGTGCGGCGCGAATTGAAACGTCGCCGCAAAGGTATGGTGCACCATTGTCCTTTAAGGGAAAAACTCCTGGGAGGCATATTAATGCTCATGATTCTTCCAGGAGAAAAAGCGCTCGCCGGACTGAGTCCGGAGAGGGTGCCCACCAAGCCTCCGCCAGCCAGGCTCCAACGCCTGGTCCGGAAGGGGAGGCTAGCGCAAGGCGCGAGCCGGACGCTCCTCCAACGGAGGATGCCGACAGGTTGTCCGCCACCAGGTCTGAGGTGGAGAGCGCCATGAATCATAGGCGCCGTCGGACAATTCTTCTTGACGCGTGTTTCTCTCCTGAGGCGTTAAATGCCTTTAATGCGGGAGACGCGCACCTCCGTGCTGCTCAAGATGGTTTAACCAAAGCCACAGAGCAGTATGTAAAGGACATACGGGTGAGGAATTTTAATGGCTATATATGCCAGTAGCCCCCGAGACTTAAAATAGTTAAACTAACTGATTTAAGGATCATTTGTTATGCAGGATCTTACTGAGAAGAATACCCACCTGTCTCAGGAGCTTCAAAAGTGCAAGGCTCAACTTGAGGCTGCACTAGCCGCTGCCGGGGGAGCCACGGAGACCCCCTCTGGTAATTCATATTTTTG